TACTCAAGCCAATGATTAGAAGACAGTGAAAATACAAGATAAAAGCTTTACCAATACAGTTACTATTCAACCTTGTTTAGTTGATTTGTGGCACTTAAGACTAGGCCATTGTTCATCTTCTGTAATAAAGTCAATGATGACTCAGTTTCCCTTTCTTTCATGTAAAAGTGTTGACAATCTATGTGATACATGTCACTATGCTAAACACAAGAAGTTACCCTTTAATTCAAGTGTTACTTTTACTGCTAAGGCTTTTGAGTTAGTCCATGTTGATATTGGGGGGCCCAATTCTACTTCTTCAATTCATGGTCACAGATACATGTTGACAATTGTTGATGATCATACACGTTTTACATGGGGCATCTTGATGAAATTAAAGTCAGAAACTAGAACTCATATCCAAAACTTTGTTACACTTACAGAAAACCAATTTGGTGTAACAGTTAAGACTTTTCGAAGTGATAATGGTTCTGAATTTTTAATGTCAGATTTCTTTGCTCAAAAAGGAATCTTGCACCAGACATCATGTGTGGAATCTCCACAACAAAATGGTGTTGTGGAGAGGAAGCACCAGCATATATTGAATACAGCTAGAGCACTTCTCTTTCAAGGCAATATTCCAAAGATATTATGGTGTTATTGTATCCAACATGCTATTCATATCATCAACAGGTTACATTCTCCAGTATTACATCACAAGTCTCCTTATGAATTGCTTTATCACAAGCCACCTGTTATAATTCATCTAAGGGCTTCCGAATGTCTTGCTTTTGCTTCTACACTTCAAGCACATCGAACCAAGTTTGACACTAGGGCCAGAAAGTGTATATATCTGGGACCAAAGGATACTTGCTATATGACTTGTTTTCTAATGAAATACTGGTTTCTATAAATGTTGTATTCTATGAGAGATATTTCCCTTTTGTTGATAGTCAGAAAGATGCTTTTTCAAACTCTGAATCACCTAGAGTGCTACCTATTTTTATCCCTCCTATCTATGACACCAGTTTGTCCAACACTCAACCTAACCCATCTGTCACCTCACTTCCTGTTTCTAACCAGCCCGTGTCACATGTTGGAAACCAACCAGTTTCATTAGAAGCCAACCAACAATCCAGTCATAATCCTACTTTACTTGAAAATCCCATTCTTTCATCCCCTACAAACACTGTTTGTGAACCTACAGACACCAGGATTATCCAAGAGTCCATACCAGAATTGTCTACTGAACTTCGAAGGTCATGTAGAATAAGGATGCCACCTTCTCATTTAAATGACTTCCACTGCAATTTGTCCACAGTCACATCTGAACATCATTTCTCTCCAAGTACACATATGACCAATACTTTATCCTCTGTCCTTACATATGACAAATGCTCTTCTGTTTATACTGCTTTCTGTCACAACTTGAGTTCTTTTGTTGAGCCACGTACATACTCTCAAGCTGCTAAGTCCAGAGAATGGCTTTTGGCCATGAATGAGGAGCTTAATGCTCTCAAACGCAATCACACTTGGTCTATTGTTGATCTCCCCAAAGGAAAGCATCCCATTGGTTCTAAATGGGTGTATAAAATCAAACACAATCCTGATGGTACAATAGCTAGACATAAGGCTCGGTTGGTAGCTAAAGGCTACAACCAAATGGAGGGAGTAGATTATTTTGAGACTTTTTCTCCAGTAGCTAAGCTTACCTCTGTCAGATTATTGCTTTCGGTTGCTGTTGCAAGGGGCTTGTTTCTTGAACAAATTGACATTAACAATGCCTTCCTTCATGGGGATTTATCTGAAGAAGTCTACATGACTATTCCTCAGGGAGTTTAATCTTCTCACACAAATCAAGTTTGTAAATTGCATAAGTCCATTTATGGACTGAAACAATCTAGTCGTCAATGGAATGCACGGTTGAATATGGAACTCTACAAGCTGGGTTTTGTCCAGTCGAAGGCTGATTATTCTCTTTTCACTAAGGCAGATGGTGATAAGTTTACCTGCCTTTTGGTTTATGTGGATGATATGATCCTTGCTGGGAATTGCTTGGTTCAAATCAAAGCTGTCAAGCAGCATTTGGATGACTTGTTCTGTATCAAAGATCTTGGTCCCTTACATTTTTTTCTTGGTATGGAAATAGCTCGCTCCAAGACTGGCTTAATCTTAAACCAACGAAAGTATATTCTGGAACTTTTAGCTGAGAGTGGACTCCTCAATGCTAAACCAGCATCTTCACCTATGGATGCTTGAATAATATAGTTAGAATAGAATAGATTACGTGTCCTTTCTCTTTTCCTTCTTTTCCTTTGTAATATATATACACTGATGTACAGAGTTTCATGTTATGTTGAATAATATAGTTTCTTTTAGTTTTATGAAATTCTCTCAATTCTTCCAATCTGTTGCAAATATGTAAAATAGTATTATTAGTTAAATAAACTTGGAATATTAACATTATAAACGTTTTGAGCAAATATTGGAGCAAGTATCTTCCTCAATATTGTATTTATGAATATTAAAATTACTATTTTTCTCGATATATTTGCTTATAACTTTTTTCTCTTCCATTTTACAGTATTTATACATATTAGCGGGGCTTATCAAATTATACGATTCCAATATAAAAATTTAAATTTGACACAGAAGACAAAGTTGGTTTAGATTTAAAGTTGGTTCGTGTAGTCGGTTCCAAAATCGATTTTAAATTTTAAACCGGTTACAAAATCAATATTAAATTAGAAATCGATTTTAAATCAAATTTGATTTTTAACAATAAACCATTTTCTATTAAAAATCGATTTTAAATCATAAACTGATTTTGGGACCGGTCCGAACCGGCTTGATAAAAACAAAAACCGTTTAGAATATGAAAAACCGATTTGGTTAGTTTTCATTAAAAATATAACTGGACTTTCCATAACAGTTCAAATAAGTTACCACTTAAAGCATGTGTTCAACTTATTTCTTGATTAAAGTAATTTATATTTTAAATCTGATTTTTTATGGAACACATTAAATTTTTAAGAAAAAATAATTTTTTCTTAAAATTCAACGTAAACAAATGATGCATTAATTTTCTAATTAAAAAATATATATATTAGCCTAAACGTCATTTAAAATTTATAAGCTGTTCATTTAATTTGTCTCGCGAACATTATTCATTTTCCACTTTAATTGTTGTCAGAGAAAGAAGACAATGTATTCGCAGATTTACTGAAGAAAAAAAGTTAAATTATATGCCTTGTTTGACATATTTCGATTTATAAATCAAAATTTAGATAGAATAAAAACAATCACAAGATATTTTCCTTTTTGGGAGGATTCAAAAATACCCAAACCTTACCCAAATTTAAACTTTACCCATCATTAAACTTTACCCAAAATTTTATGATGGACAAAGAGTATTTCAAATTCAAACAAGATATTTACCTTTTTGAGAGGATTCAAAAATACACATAAATACCATTTTAAGCATACAAAAATCATGTACATTAACCAAAAAAACATTAAAAAAAAAAAGGTACTATGTATACGGTCTATAATAAAACCACTAACACTAAAACAAACCGAGGTGCTAAAGTTATTCTCCCAAAAATTAAGCTATCAGTGGTTCAAATCCAATTGCGTTTAATAATGTATTATGATGATCTGTAACCACACCATTAGTTCATTTTCAGATATGAGATCCAATTTCCCAAGTTCCCACCAACCTTTGCCATGTACTCCTTACCAGGTTTCAGCGTGATGGATACAGTCTTGGAGGCTCTTGAAACTGATAGCCAACACAGTATTGCTACAGCTCCTTTCCACACGCAGTCATCATCAAAGCAAACGGTAATCCTCTCTATCATTCTAGCATTCGTTATCAAGTACTTAAAAAATTCCACGTCAAGCCCTTTTCCTTTATATCCAGTTATATATATGAACTGTCTTCAATTTGTAGCTGACACACTCACTAAACAGTGCCCTCTCCCAAAACATGGTATTGGGATATGTTAGATGACCATCTGGGAAGAGATTGCTAATCCCGGAAGATTTTTCACAACCAATATTATCTAATTCGAAATGCATGTTCTATAACCTATTACACGAAACCAACGAGTTTGAAAAGTAATATGTAAGAATCTAATCTATTTCAATGTATATAATAGTAAAGGGGGAATGTGAAACAAGAAGATAAATTAAGGTCGAAGCATTTTGTCTCACCAAAGGGCGTATATTGTTCCAAGAATCTAAATATTCACACTCCATGGAAACCACTTTCACATCCTTCTCCTCTAAGAGTTTCGCTATCCAAGAATTTTGCAACTTTCTAAGCTACTAATGTGGTTATCCAAAACTGATTTGATTATATTTGCTGCATCATCATGGTAGCTCGCAAAGTTGGAACCGAAAAATGAAGAGGTTTTTGAACTTTGGGGTTCATCATAAGCTTGTGATGGAAATTGAGGTTAGGTGTGCTCTTCCACAACGGCTTCATTAACGGGAAGAAATGAAATTATCAAAGCTAAAATAGCATCAGGAAGTTTTGATATCCAATCCCCTCCATTGTTAGTATCAATGTTCGCATCTTCTATACTTCTTCCATTTTGTTTCTCTCCTCTCGTATACGTGTTAGGAAGTGATTCACGAATTGTAATAAGAAAACTTAAAAGGGTAAGGGTAATGTAAAGAACCTTAACATACACCACTCCAAAAGTTAACTCATGTAGCATCACACAAATAGCTCATGTAGCTTTGTCCTTATGTCCGTTGTCAAATTAAACGGATGTTCATCACATTTTTCGTAAAGCATAGCCCCGGCTTTTCTGTTTCTCTATCTTACCCTCTCTCTCTCTCTCTCTCTCTCTCTCTCTTGTCATGCATTACTCTGAATCATACAGCATCACTCACGCAGTTACATTTTGTCCTTTTTTGATTGTTTAGAGTTAAAATAATTATGATAAATAGCCCTCTTTTCCATTCTCATTTCACTCTTTCATTTCCTCTCTCACACAAGTTCCTTTCCCAACATGTCTACTCCACAGGTGAAGAGCACTGTCCACATCATTCGCAACAAGCACGTCATACCAGCGGAATTTAAGCATCCATTCCCGAAGATGTTGAGGATAACTTTCACTGACAACGATGCTACCGACTCCTCCAGCGACGAAGAACAACCATTCAACTCATCAATGCGCCGCCAACGACAAAAGAAGTATGTGGGGGAGATTATTTTTGAGAGGCGCAAAGCCAAAAAGATAAACTCCTCCGGTAAGAAATACCGGGGAGTGAGGCAGAGACCATGGGGAAAATGGGCTGCAGAGATAAGAGACCCATCGCGACGCAAACGATTGTGGTTGGGAACATATGACACAGCTGATGAAGCAGCCAAGGCCTACAACAAAGCCGCCATTAAGCTGCGCGGACCTGATGCACTCATCAATATCATTGAGACACCAACCGCGGAGGTGCAGAGCTCGCCGGAGAAAACAAACCTGCCGGAGGTGGAAACTTCCATGGCTACAAAGGCCGGTTAAACACACCGCCTAGCAAATTTGTTGTCATGTTATTTAGTCATGTGTCGTGTACGTAGTAGAACGTTTGAGCTTTGCATCAACTATGTAAGATGTTTTTAAAATTGAAGACTTTAATTTTGCAGTTATTTCACAAATCTAGACTTGTAAAAAGTCGTTTATCAAATCAGTGGCGAAGCTAGATGTTTCCAGAACTTTAAGTCGCATAAAGAGGGTAGGAGAAAACCTAAAGATTGGAATATATATATTTAAAAAGGGCTTTATTAATCTCATGTGACATAAGAGAACTCTTATATCATAGAGATAGTTATGAGTGAGACTCACTCACTTAAAGAAAAAGAAAAAAAGAAAAAAAAGCAACACGGAAGTCCATGAATGTGTAGGAGAGAAAAATACTCTCCTACAACATAAGATAATATTTTCCCATTTAAAAATAATGAAATATGTTTCTAGTGTAGCGAAGCTTTAGGGGATACTACCTCGACTCCATCAAACAGATAATTAAATAATTAGGGTCAGTATATTAAAAATTAAAAAAAATCTTATATAATATACATAAATGGATGGCCTCACTTTTTTTCTTTTTTACTCTCTGTGTAGCATTTATTTTTGCACTGTTATATGAGATAAAATTATTTAATTCATCACGAGGGACATATTAGGAAAAAGAAAATTCTTAACTTAAATTTACAATATATTTTGTAATCTACTTTGTATCCCCGTGCGGGCGTATCCTAACGCATGCTGTCACACAGAATAGTGAAAGAAGAAAGTGTAATTTCCCCCAGCTAATCTCGAACTTGAATTGCTAATACTCCTGCAAGAGGGTAAATTTATTTTTACTTCTTCACTACAAAATAGTCCGTCATAATTATGTTAATATATTAATTTTAAAACATCTAGAAAATTGACCATGGCAGGATCATGGTTAAAAATTATTTTTTTTATTCTTTCATACATATTTCTTTACTAATGATCTCGTATTAATTGGTTGATCTAACAAATCAGTTAAACGTAGACGTGATGGGCTATGAAGCACTGACACTTCAAAAATACTGACGTGTCGTATCCGACATTTCCCAACACTCACCGACACTTTCTAACACTCCAATACTCGTTGCAAAGACTCAAAAAAAGCTCAAAGGTTACGTTGCGTTACATTTTGAGTTCCAACTATTATATTCATATTACAATTATGATTTTATTGAGTTTAATATAAATATTTGGGATATCTTATGTTTCTTTGCAAAATTGATGGGTATTATAAGTTTAACTTTATTTTTTTTAAATTTTTGAATACTAAATATAATATATACTACATAAATTAAAAATATTATATAATATTAAAACTTGTCCTAACGTGTCAAAATTTAATATTTTTAGAATTAACGTGTCGGAGTGTCGTATCGTGTCATATCTCGTATCCCGTGTTATGTCGGTGCAACATAGGTGATGGGTATCAGTGAGTAACTCACTTGGTTGATATTATAATTCGTGTGAAAATGTTGCTGTAATTCTAATCGGCATATTTATAACTGTTGCTCTTGGCTCTTGGTTTGAAGAACATTTTTCAAATTGTATAAAGTCTATCATTTACCTTTAAGTTGTTGTGCTGTTTTTGTTTTTGCTTATATATATATATATATATATATATATATATATATATATAGCTAGGATTCTTTGACATCAGCGTCAAATTTAAAGTTTGACATCAGAGTCAAATTTAAAGTTTGACACCTTATCTGAGAGTTGTTAGATCAAAAAAATTCAATGGTGTCACATGCTTACAAATCATAGTCGTTGATCTTTTTTGATCTAATGGCTCTCATATGAGGTGTCAAATTTTAAATTTGACAAAGATCCTACCTCATATATATATATATATATATATATATATATATATATATATATATATATATATAGGGATATGATCCTTTGACACCGATGTCAAATTTTAAATTTTAACACTAAATCACAATATTTGATTTTCGACAATCAACGGTTATCATATATTGGGAATCAAACTTATTAATTACTATTAATTTCCAATAAATAATAACTGTTGATTGGCGAAAATTGTAACACCCCGTATATATCCGGTAATGTTATCATACTATCGTATTAAGCAACGCTTAATTAAAAATGCGGAATATCTTTTTCTTTTCAATTATGATATCATTATCATTACCAACTTGCTTATTAATCAATTAATAAAACATCGCCTGTATGTAATTGCAATAAAACAGCTAACTGAAATACCTCATAATCATAGATAATAAAAGTGTGGCTCTAGTCACGGAACTACAACAACGTAGACCGGACCATCTAACAGTTTATACAACTCCAAATCAAATGCACTAACATAAAGTGTCATGGACAATCCCCATGCTCACTCAAATAAGGCAACATGCCCAACATCAGTCTCAATAACAACATAACATAAATAGCGGAAAACATAAACAGCATCCATATCCAGTCATGGCAGCAAACAGCATAATATCATCAACTAAGCTCTGTCCTCCTGCCGCCAGAGGCATCAGTCACCAAACTACCGGAACCTGAAATAAGCATTCCCCAAACGTGGGGTGAGATCTCTAAACAAGAAATCTCAGTAAGACAAGGGGTCCTCAAGGATCTTCCACCCCAAGCTCACTTACATGTGCAATATAAGTTTAAAAACAGTTCATCAATATCATTTCTAAAACAGTGTAATGCAGCAGATAATCATGTCATGTGTGTCAATTCTATTCTACTGGCCAGAGAAATGCAGGATTTACATACGCTAAATACCCACACTAGTGCAAGACGCTACTTGCATTCACCCCGGATCACCATATCGTATGACGCCACATACTCAGGATTACCGTCAAGATGAAACAACACATGCATATTAAAAGCCATTACACGTAAAGCTCAACAGCATTTCAAATATCCAAAGCATGTAACACAGCATGCATATAACCACACCCCCATGGGACATGGTGGAACCACAACATGGCTAAACCGAGGACACGAAAGCTTACCTTGCAAGCTAACTCCCAAAGCCAAGAGTCCATAGCTCAAAGTCCAAACACAGCAGATTCACAATCTGTTATGGACCAATACTATATCAATAATAATGCAACACAAGCATATAACTTAAAGACAACGCCTTTCCTTACGTTTTACGTCTTAAGGCTCCATACCAAGCCATAAGCCCTTAATCACAACGATTCTGACTTAGTTCAATAATTACAGAAGTTCAACTTCCTCAATCTAAGGTCCACAAACCCCCAATAGCCTACTGTACACACAGCACAGCTACTGTTCTACGAAATCCCAGAATATCCGGATATTCCTCGGGACCATATCCGGATATGCAATATCCAGATATCTCACTGGACATATCCGGATATGCAATATCCGGATATGCAATATCCGGATATCCAAAATCCCATATCCGGATATCTAATATCCGGATACTCAAAACCCATATCCGGATATCACATATCCGGATATTCCTCGGGCACATATCCGGATATTTCACGACAGAATGCAGAAAATGCATTTCGTGAAGATATCCTTCCAAGGTTCCATTTTTAACACTTAATTACGTTAAAGCATGCATCTTTATACTTATTAAGGTCCACACCCCAGTTGGTTACTTGATTAACCCATTAAACATGCAAAGATCACACCTTTAACCCATTAAAACACAAACTCAAGGTAGGTACAACTCACCAAAGCTCAAAACAGAGGATCAATGGCTCATGGAGCTCACCGCACTGCCTCTACAGGTTCTGGAAATAAGGTGTACGAAAATGCAACACAAAGGGGTCCTTTCTTCACAAAGAAGCTTCTTGAAGCTTCACAAGCCAAGAACAAGGCTCCAACCACCCAAACAACCCAAAACAGCAGCTCCACACACCAAGGTCAGCACCCTCAACTCAGAAAAATGCCACCAACACACTCCCAAAGATCATTCTCACTCACCACAAGTGTTTAGGAGAAGAATAAGTGAAGGGAATGGCCTCAAAGCTCAAGAAATGGTGAAGGCAAGTGAAGGAGACACCAAGTCAGCAAGGAGACCCACACTCAGCAGCCACTCACGTACAAAAACTGAGGTCCTAGGGTTGTGTGCCAATCACAAGGCTATTTATAGCGGTTTAACCATTAATCACCCAGTATTAACTTTAATTGCTACGCTTAGCATTTTAATCCCAAACTTTGGAATCTGAAACTACACATTTTTCCAAGAATTATCATATTTTTCTTATAATTTTCTGAGCACCTTTCCGGTACGCGCTTTTCCAAGCCAGTACCGGTTTCTAGCACCAGTTCTCATTATTTGGGATTGAAACTCGTTTTACAAGTCCTACATAGTATTCTAGTAATTATCATGCACTTACATTAATTTTCCGAGATACTTTTTCGGTACGCATTTATACCGACTAGCAGAACCGGTATCTGCACTTTTCTTCCGACAAACGACTTTCAGCATTATTACTCACTTACTATAATTATTAAAGCCTCATAATAATTATTAGGGTCAATTATGGAATCATTTCCTATTTTCTCATAATTTATTAATTAAATTCCTTAATTAACGGTGCAGGTTCTTACAAAAATCAACGAATAGGATTTGATGTCAAATTTGAAATTTGACACCTCATCTGAGAGCCATTAGATTATAAAAGATCAACGACTCTGATTTGTAAGCATGTGACACCATTGATCTTTTTTTATCTAATGGTTATCAAATGAGGTGTCAAATTTTAAATTTGACACTGGTGTCAAATGATCTTACCTCATATATATATATAGGCAACATGATTTGTTAAGTGATTGGATGTAAGGTTTGGTGCTATAACACGCCGTGTTAACCCGGTTTGTTAACACGTTATCGTATTAAGACACACTTAATTTAAAAATGCGGAATATCTTTTTCTTTTCAATTATGACGTCATTATACTTAGCCAAGTTGATTACTTAATCATTTTCATAAAAACATCGCCTGTATGTAA